TCAGATAAAGATATATTTTTTCTTTCCCTCCCTCTTCTGTCCCATTCCCTTTCTATTATTTTATTTCTCTGTCCATCCATCCATCCATCCATCCATCCATCCATCCATCCATCCATCCATCCGGTTTTCTCCAGGTACTCTGGTTTTCCTATAAAAAAAAAAACATTAATCTAATCAGGTATTCTAAATATTCATCCTCAATGGGACGGTAACTTTAAAAGCAACAAGAACCGTTCTTTTTATACCTGTTAATGGAAACATATGTGTTTGCACCTTGAAGCTTTTTCTCTCTCGTTCTTTTTCCTGAAAAGAGATCACTCTGGACACGCTATCTTTCTATCATTTTATCCATCCGTCCGTCCGTCCATCCATCCATCCATCCATCCATCCTTCCTCTTCTGTTTCAGGTGATTGTAGGTGGTAGAATTTGACGGATGCTGGGAACTTCCGTTGCTATCAGCTCCTCCTGAGTAACACTCCTAACAAACAATTTTTGAGACAGAATGCAGCTAGGTGGACGGATCAACAGAGAATTCTATCTGAAGGAAGAAGGAAAGTTGGCGGTAGGCATAAGCCAGTTTGTGACTGGATCAAGATGGCGGCTCAGGTTATAGAGGATGAGGAAGATCTAGATAGTGATATGGATAGTTGGACGCCAGTTGCTAGTTACCGTGGAAGTGGAAAACTCAAAAGTAGTGAAGAGAGCTGAGTTTCTGGGAATTCAGGAAACAAAAGAAACCTTGAAGACAACAGTACAGATGATGGAAGCAAGGCTGTGCGTAAAAAGATCCTGAAAGAAGAGGTAAAGATGATAGGAAGATGAAAATATTGCTCTAAGCCCAATAATATTTTCTAAGGAACTAAAAAAGAAAGCAGGGGAAGTTGAAATGGCTAATGCGCTGAGAGATGGAAGCTTGTTAATTATTTGTAAATCAGAAGAACAAGGATTATAACAAAGTTTATTTTCAGAATTATCAAAGATCTCCTGTAGTGGTCTGTCTTACAGTGGGCCTGGAAAAGCCTCTGACTCACAACACTCACACAGTCCAATGAAGACAATGCTCATCGTTGTACACAATGTTCTTCCTTTTATGAACAATGATTCTTTTTAAATTTATCTCCACAGGCTTTTTGGAGCCTCCAGAACAGAGATGTCCTTCTCTATTAGCTTGTTGAAAGTCAAAAGCTTCTGTGCTGAAATCCCAAAAGATGATAGCTACAGAAATCACACAACATATAAATACCAGATATGCAGTACCTTGCTGAAAACAAGTCATACACTTGCAGTACAGAGATTAACAGATACTTACCTGTTTAGCAGTCCACATATACCTGTTATTGCACCAGAAAATAATGCAGCTGTCTTTATTCTGGTATTAATGGTAGCTTGCTCAGAAAACTGTAAGTCAGTTGATATCAGTTCTGGTGATGCTGTGGGCGATGACCTCTTTAAGTGCAGACCTGTTGTTGAGTCCTGGCCCTGGTGCAGAGATGAACCGCCTGCTGGAATACCACTTGAATATTCATAGTATGCCAGTTGTTTCCCTCCATTCTAACATCAGGTCACTGCTGCACATGCAGTATTTTGGGCAAGCTTACTGTGACCATTATCATTTGGTAATACTTGTGTAAATATGTCAACTAGGGCTGCAAATAACGATTAGTTTGCAAATCGATTAATCTTTTGATTATTTTTCCGATTAATCAATTCATTATCGGAAAGCCAAAGGTTACTTAGAGAAG